ACCTTCGGACAGGACGTCGATCAGGATGGATCAGATGGTACTCGATGCATCTGTCGAGGCAGAACGGGCTATCTCTTGGGGTATCCCACGGTTGAATGCGAACTGTGCAACAAGCGATATCACACTGGTTGTGTCTTCTACCCTGTGGATAAAGTCAACCCTCAGCCTAATCCTCGATTTATGTGTCCTATATGTTGCTTGCGTAAGAACAAAACTTACCAGTATTCTGACGTTCGGGTCATACCCGCAGGTACGCATAGGCGTTTTATCCTTCATCACAGTTACCTGATGACATGTTGCAGAAACTCTTCTCAACGAAAAGCAGCCAATGGACGTCTATGTGAACACGAAGGAGATGCTGGATACATTTAGTAAAACAATCATTCTCAAGAAAATGCCTCCGCCCCACATGCATACACTGTTCGTTGAGCTTGTCCAATTCCAGCCTGGCTCAGATGGCAGTACGACGACCGCGAGCAGCAGCAGCAGCGGACCTGCCCCTCGTACCCAGATGATTAACCACCATCCACCACCTCCACCGGCTCGGGCACACCTGCCGAATGGTGATCCTCGTTCTCGAACCATAGTCAACATCAATCTATGTCTGCGATCCAGCACTCGCCGTCCGGGATGAGCACGTTCAGTGCGGCATCGACATCGAGCGCCTATGCTCCTCCACCTCCTCCTTGGTCGAGATGGGGCACAATGTCTACTCCGGCAATGCCGCCATCAACCCAGCGTCGCAGTGCAAACGGTGGCGAGAGCTCGCGGTCAAACGGGACACCTCAGCCGTCTGCTTCGACATCGAGGAAGAGGAAACACGTTGACGATTTGCCGCCCGCGCCCTCGCAGCAGCAACAGCAACAGCATCACCAGCATCACCAACAACACCAGCAACACCACCTTCATCCATCAGAGGATGATCTCCGGCCGACCAGCTCGTCCTTCCCATTGAAGAGACATGCAGGACCGGCATTGACACCGACACCCTTGTCGCCGCCTCGACCCATCCAAACGCTCTCTCCATCCCTGGCTATGATCGTATCGCCAACAAACCAGGATGTGCATACTTCTCCGCGAGGTAACCAGCTGGCGCCACTGCGGAATGGAAACAGCGGGTCTCCTATCTTGCCTCCTGTGAAATCTTTGATATCGGGCGACCCGCGTCCCTATAATAATTTGTTCTTGGGCTTTATTGAAGTCAATTGGTTTAGATTAGCTTTTCAACCCCATCCCCTCTTCCTTTCATTTTTCACTCTTCATTGACCTTACTTAACTGCTCTATTCCTCTGCACCTGGATCCCTCTGCTCGCTCTTCGAAGTCTTCCGTACCCATGTATCACACCTGAAATGCCTGAATCCTGTGTTATTAGAAATTACGTACGTACGTACATGCAGCGACAAGTCCAAGTTCCTTTGTTTACTTATTCTCTCTGTCCTTGATTTGACTGTCTATCTAGGTATATGCATGTGACTATGTAGCTTACTACCGAATCATCATCGCATGAGTAATTGGAATAGTAGATAATTGAAAGGAACGGATTTGTTTCGAGTTGCGACTCATTGTACGGGCATAAGGTAGGGGATTTCCCAAAGTGTTCCAACTATCTTGTGTGGAGTATAGAATATAAGTATAACATGGTTGATGGACATATGCAACAAGCTTTCCGAGTCCAAGTTCCTCTATTTCCTGGGTTTATTCTCTCCTGGGTTTGGTTGAAATGGCTCTCTATCTAGGTACATGCATGTGACTGTGTAGATTACTACGAAGCATCATGATTAAAAGGATGGATAACTGAAAGGATAACATTGCATTGTCTGCATGGATGGCAGTATATTGACGAGCAAAAACATCGAACCGGTGCAAGAAAATAATGAACTTGAAAGAAAAAACCCCGTAGAAGAACAGAAGATGGTCATAAAATCGTGATTGTGAGGATATAAGTATAACAATGCTGATGGACATATCGTGTAAGAGGAAGCGAGATGTAGCGTAGATATGAAACGAATACAATGACGGGGTGGGTTCGGTGTTGAACCAGGTGGTCTCACCTGCGCACCATGAATCGGTACGTCGAGTACCCACCAATGACAGCAAAGGCCGCGAGGCCGGCAATGATAGAGATGAACCAGGCGTATCCCTGGCGTGTCGTTAATTTAATTCGTTAGCGCGTTGTCATAGTATATTATATGAAAGCCAGCAAGTAAGCAAAGGACTCACATCTACATTCTGCCCTGGAACGTGGACGTTCATACCCCATAGACCTATCGGACGGAACAAGCGCATGCGTTTAGTTTCGGCTAGATGAATGAATAACAAGGAAGGAAGGATGGAAGGCATGCGAGAAGAACGGGATGATGAAAAATAACGCGCATACAACGACCCAAATCCTCAAGGGAAAAAAAGACAGCACAAAAGGCAAAAGCACTAACCAGTAACCAGATTCATCGGAATCAGCACCGTACCAAGAGCAGTCAGCTTGGACAGGACGTCGTTGATCTGGTTGTTCGCGTCCGTCATCTCGATGGAGATCTGCGCGAGGTAGTTTGAGTGCGAGCGCGAGAGAATCTTTTCGTAGTGGTTCAAGTTTTGGGTCATCGTAATCAGATGGTCCTGGTAATAATATTGAAGAGAGACGTTAAGACATGGGTGGTTTCGAGCAAAACCACATAGAATAAATAATGCATACCTGGATATCCGACAGATAAAGTCCCTGTTCAAAGAAATAAAAACAAGCGTTGAATAAATGCAAATAGCAGCACCAATAACAAAAGACAACGAAAAACATACGATATCAGACGTAGGCGCGACCCTCCAATTCTCATTACACCTCTTCGCCAACCCCTTCACCACATCCGCCTTATTCCCCATCAACCTCAACAAGCCCATCACCTTCTTCCTACACGTCCCAATCCTCCTCAACATATCACTCTGCTCCGCCTCCTTCAAAATCAGCACCAGCTCGTCAATGCTATCCACCTCATACTCGATGCCCTGGATCAGCGGCCCGAACGCGTCCGTGATGTCGTCGATGAGCGCGTACGAGATCCAGTCCGAGGTGACGCTGATGTAGTCCTTGAGCTGCTTGATGCGGCGGCGCACGTTCTGCGGGTGCGGCGTGGGCCGGAAGTGGAAGGAGAGGATGCCCTGCCGGAAGACGATGATGTACATGTTCAGGGGCTCGAGGTGCGTGGGGCTGTATGGGTCCTGGTCGAAGGAGCGGAAGCACACGAGGTAGTAGTTCCGGAAGAGCTCGATCTTCTCGCGCGTTTCTTCCATTAGGATGTCTTCTGTTGTGAGCGGGTGGATGGAGAAGACCTGCAGGATGATGCCAGTGAAAGAGCAGTATTAGAGCGAGAGGACACAGAAAAAAAAAGTACAGAAACCCGAAAGAGAGAGACGAACCTTGCTGAGCATCTTCATCTCTTCGTCCGTCGGGCTCTGCACATCCAGCCACCACGTATTGCCATCCTGATCATCGCCCACAGCACCCATACCGCCCCCACCCAGACTATTCATGCCATTCTTATCCTGCCCATTACCACCACTACCAAATGCGCGTCCGTTATTAAAGCGGCGCTATTCCGCGCAATCCCATTAACGTTGTTCCCAAGGCATTATTCAAGAAATAACCACCGCCTCAGAAATATTATTGCCTGGTTTAGACGGCGCCTCCTGATAGGGCGGCGAGAACAGCAGCCAGAGCGATCCTTGCCTACCGTACTATCATCCGGCGGAGGTGGTGCAGGGGCCTGCGCACCGGTGAACAGCTGCTCAAACGTCTGCCCCTCCGCCGGCAACTCACTAAGACTCCTCGCATGGATCGTAGCAGACAGCGCGTTGGAGTAGAACGAGAACCTGTACGGCCGGTCGTGGCCCGTGTGCAGGATCCCGCCAGCGAGGCCCGGTGCACTGGGTATGCCGCGATGTGGTCGTACGAAGGCCGGAAGGCATGCCGGGGTGGCCGCCGAGGACGTGGCCGAGGCGGGCGGAGAAGGAGGAGGGGTGTCGTTGGCGGTGGCTTCGAAGAGGGCCATCTTGCCGCCGATGCCCTTGCGGTGGATGCGGGGATGCGCGTTGCTCTGGCTCAATTTGCGGTGGCGCAAGGGGCGCTGGGAGGCTTGGTCGGACGGAGCTTCGTCTGCCAGCTGGGAAGGCTGTTGGGCGCCCTCTGCTTGTGTACCTGCTGTATCAGGTTGTACAGCAACTAGATTCGAACTCGAGGGTACTGCGTTGAGATCGGCGTCAGGACCGGTAGGCTGGGGCGGGCGTGTTTCGACGAGATTGAGCTTGGGGCGGCCACGGATGGTAGCCACGAGAAGCGGGTGTTGACGGGAGAATTGAGGCCCAGCTTTGTCTTTTCCTCTGCAGCGAACTCTTCCATCCGGGCAAAGTCAAAAGCGGACTGAGAGACATTCGCCTGGTAGGTCGGCAGCCAAAATTAGATGCCTGGGATCTTCAGGGTGTGAGGGAGGAGAAGAGAGGGGTCGGATCTGGTCAACGGGCCAGAGAGGGTGGCAGAGGAGGAGTGAGGGCGTCGACGTCGAGGTTGTCTTCACGATCGAACCCCATGCCAGCTGCGTGGTCATGGAGGAGCTCAAAATTTTGCTGAGCTACGGGAAAGGGGTTGTCATCGCCGATTTGCTGGGCGGCGGGTGGGGGGTAAAGGCAGCGACAGGAGAGGCATGGAGGGTGTCTCTGCGAGCAAGAGAGAGCTGCAAGGCCATATCGACGTCCATGGTGCGTGCCTCTCCAAACCTGGGGGTCATTGGGGTCAAATGAACGAGTTACAGTCGGAGAATGGCGGATCCGGGAAGGACTGATATCGCTAATCTCACTCGGAGAGATACTTCTCCGCCGAGCAGGCGAAATCGACACCGGCGAGCTTGTTCGAACAGTCGCCATCGAGGACATGAGCAAAGGAGCAGTACAACCAAATGTTATTCATCCTACACTAATGGCCTCACCTCACATGGCCTCTGTCAGGAAGCTTACAACAGCCCCCGTTGTCTAATGGTTATGACGTCAGACTTCTATCACATCAGCTGGTATCTGGAGGTTGCGGGTTCGAATCCCGCCGGGGGTTTCGCCTTCCATGTAGTGGTTTTTTTTTGGCCTTGCACTGACGCTCAGTCGTTTAGTATAAAAATTGATATCGATATTGTACACATGTCGGGATCCAGAAAGTATATACTGGTATATGCATATTTGAAAAGATCCAAGAGATAACTTAAACAACTGGAATTCATAAAAGGTTCATAACCAATAACTGTCGTCAATGCAGTGGTCGTGAAGAAACAGGAAAAGAAAAAAAATGCGAATGAAAGAGATCCAAAAGGTATCTAAAAGAAAAGATAGATCGAACTCGCTCAAACCCTACTTCTTCGCCGCCCTCAACTGCGCCCTCAAATTCCCATTCTCCGTCTGCATCGAGTTGAGCTCATCCAGCAGCGCGATCCGCTGCGACTGCTCCGACGTCCGCATCGCCTCCACCTCGTCCTGCGCCAGCTCCAGCGCCTTCTTCACCTCCTGCAGCTGCCCTTCCAACTGCTTGCGCACCATCTCGGGCGCCTGCGCGGCGTCTTCTGCTAGTGCCAATGCGCGTGCGCTGAGCGTGTTGTTGGCTTCTGTCAGCTGGCGGCAGGTCTCGGCTTGTTCGGCGGCGAGGCTCTCCAGCTCGCGTTTCTCTGCGGTGATGCGCTCGATGGTCTCGTGCAGGAGGTTTAGCTCGTCTTGCCTGCAAGATTATTAGCACAATTCAATTCTCAACTCAAAAACAAAACTCACATGGCATTTTGCCTCGCCGCCATCGTCATATTCCGCTCCTCGAGCATCCTTACCTGCTTCTGGTACGTCTCCAGCGCGTGATTGCCATCCTGCGCCAACTTCTGCGCCCTCTCCGCGTTCTTCTTCAGCAGATCATGCGCCTGTGCGAACCGCACCAGCCGCTCGATCAACGCCCGGTCGTCGTTCACCAGCGCCTGCACGCGTGCGGCGAATGCCTCGAGCGAGAACGCGCCGTTGCCTGGCTTGGGCGAGATGGGCGTCGTCGTCGACCCACCACCGGCCCCGCCGCCGTACAGCGACTTGAGCGAACGCACGTCGAGATCCGAGAGCGAGGTGACTGCGGATCCAGAGCCGCTCGTGGAGGATCCTGGAGTGGGCGACCCTGTGCGGAACGACCGGTTCGTGTTGGACCCGAATTTGGCGGCGCGGGCTTCAGGTGAGGGTAGGATCGCCCAGATGGGTTGGAGGACGGCCATGACACGCCCGACGTCGGTGTCGCTGCCTTCTTCGACTGGGAGGAATGTCTGAGGTGTCGATGGTGTACGTAGATGTTGAGCCTGCGAAACTTAATAAGTAGGAAATAACAAGAGGGAAATAAGTATAGCCTACCTTGGCCCGACTCTCCATCGTCAAAGTCTCTCTCCTGGCCGTGTCTCTGTCTCTTCTTGCGTCTTCCAATTCCCTGGCCAATGCCTCCCTCTTATCCAGCCCACTCCGCACATCATCCTCCAATTTCCTCCTCGTCAACTCCCACTCCGCCTCCGCCCTGGCATACGTCTCCAACTTGGCATGCACCGTCTCCACATGCATCCCAATCGCATTCAGCAGGCCCTGCAACGACGAGTCCCTTGAAAACAACACGATCCCATGCGTCTGATCATCGTTTGCAGTGCGGAAAGCCCTGACTGCAGCTCCTCCTGCGTCTGCTGTATAGCGTCGTCGCCCTCCTCGCGCATCCGGTCCATCTCGTCTTGGAGCCGCGACAGGTCCTCCATCCGCTCGTCCTCGAGGACCTGCCGCTCCTGCTCCCACGTCGCACGCTCGCCCTCCATCTCCTCCTTCAGCCTCCGGATCTCTGCGTTCTTCTCCTCGAGCTCGCGTTGTGACTTATCGCGAATTTCAGTAAGCATCCGCTCCGCCCCACCCGCCGCCTCGCCGTTCCTCGTCTCCAAATCCGCAAGCCGCGCCTGCGTCGTCTGCGCCTTCCGCCCCTGCTCCTCCAACTCCTCGCGGTCCCTCTCCCATCCGTCCTTCTCCTCCCTCAACACCTGCACCTCCGCATCGAGCTCCTCGAGCCTTGGAATCTCCTTCTCCAGCGCCGCGATCGTCTCCTCCGCCGCCTGCAGATCCATGCCCATCACGGTCTCCACCTCCTGCTTCTCCAGCCGCATCATCGACAGCTCGCGCGTCATCTCTGCCTGTTTCTTGCTTGCAGTCGCCAGTGCATCCTTGGCCGTCTTCAGCTTGTCTTCGAGGGCAGCGATGGCGGCTGCGGCGGCCTCGGGCGACAATTTGGCTTTGGGCACGATGGCGTCCGCGTGCCCCGCGAAGAGGTGGGCGCCGTCGAACCGCGACTTGGCAGAGGGCGAGGAAGGCCAGTGATGGCAGACGACATCGTGGACGGGCTCATCAGGGTGCTGCGGTTGGACGAGTCGTACCCCGAGTCCTCCGACGGCGGCGAGAGCTTCTTCTCCATGTTGCGCACGGAGAAGCTCAGCACGCCCGCGCGGTGCTCCATCAGCCGCCGGTGGACTTCGCTGACGCGGTCGGATATCTTCCACACTTCTTTCTGCGCGGACTCGACGCGCTGGTGGCGGCGTCGAGCTGCTCGCTTGTTTGTTTGGAGACCTTTTTGTGGGAGGCATTGACTTTGGAGAGGGAGAGTGCGGCGTCCGGATTTTGGTCTCGAGAGCGAGTTTTTTGGTCATGGCACCGAGTCTGGCCCGAGGACTTGGTGTTCCTGTACCATAATTAGATTATTTTCTGTAGAAAGAATAAAATAGAAATGAACCTTTTTGAGCTCGTCGACTTCTTCGGCAGTTAGGATCTCAAAGTCGCGGCTGTCGATGACGGCCTCGCTGGCCATGAGACTGATGAGGAGCTCGTCTCGGGTGTTGAGGTTTCCGGAGATGCGCTTCCATCCTGGATCGGTGTTGCCCGACTTTCTCATCGATGAGCGCGTGACACTGCCGCGGGGTGAAGACGACGGCGAGTTGGGCATAGTCTGCGATCTCGTAGGCGACGGCGTCGTATAGTTGGGGTATCCGCGCGAGGTCTTCAGTGCCGACGACGTGCCTGTGGACTGCCTTCCCGCTGTGGATGTGTAGGGACTGTTACCGTTGCTGCGTGCATCGTCCGAGAATTCGGGGGTGGCTGGCTGTTGTGCTGGGGGGATGGGGGTACTTTCGATCGGTCTTTCTTGAGGAAGAGGGCAGCGGTTGTCTTTGGGCTCTCTGGTACGCCTGCGTATGACAATTGAGAAGATGCTGGAGAGGGAGGAGGCCAGGTGGGACCGGTCTTTGGGGAAAAACCAAGGGGACAGTAGACTGTGAACCCAGCGGAGAATCTGGTTGGCTTGGTGGCGAGGACGATGTGGCAGCCCCCAAGAGCCTGCGCACGCCGTTCATGGCAGCGGAGAGAGAGGAGGAAACGATGACGAGCCCCTAACCCTAGACCATGGCCAGACTTGGGTGTGACGGCAACGCGGTGACGAACGGCTTCCCCGCCTGATCGCTCCTTTCTCCCTTCGTACACTCCTCTTAGTTTCTGCATGACTGACCACCATCGACCCTTATCCCACCCCTTCTCATGTCGTTCACTTTCAACTGGCCTCGTTTCTCAGACCAGTTTCACTACGATGCAATCCAGATGCTCAATACCGCCCTTAACAAGGGCAACAAGCCCCCCATCATAGCAGACAAGATCGAGGTCGTCGAGCTAGAGATGGGCACCCAGGTTTGCTACTGCATATCGCCTTTTTTCATGCCTTGCCAATCCTTTTTTTCTGTTCACTTACAGCCCCCAGAACTCGAGATTCGCGACATTGGTGATCTAACAGTGGATCAGTTTCGCGGCATTTTTCGCTTGACGTACGCCGGCGACGCCCACCTCGTCCTCAAGACAAAGGTGCAGGTACGCTTACGTCCGTTTTTATTCATCTCCGTCGTATTTACACTAAATGACCTCACTCGCTCGCTCGTGTGCGCAGGCGAATCCGTTAAACCACAAACAGCCTGACATCCACCTCATGGGCGGTTCCCGAGGCATGCTGGCTGCCAAACACCCTCTCGTCGTGCCCATGCTTCTCCGCCTTTCCCATTTCAAACTAAGCTCCTACGTCGTCCTTGTCGTCTCAAAGCAAAAGGGCATCACTCTCGTATTCAAGACTGACCCTCTCCAAAATGTCGACATTAACAGCACCTTCGACTCCATTGCCGTCATCCAAAACTTCATCCAGCGAGAGATAGAAGGCCAGCTGAGACAGATGTTTCGGGAGGACCTTCCTGGGATTATCCATCGTCTCAGCCAGCAATGGGTCAAGGCGAAAGTGGAAGCTCCTTACCTCAACAAACGCCCCACCTCCACCTCAGCCTACACGCCGGAGTTTCGACGCCATGTCGCCCCAGATTCGTTCCCAAGTAGACCTATCGCCTCAGACATCGGCGTCCACCCCCACCTCTCCCGAAAAACATCCCAGGCCTCCATCGGCTCCCGGCGTCCTCGCGCACCCCCGCATCCGGGGCATCCGTCGCCGGCTCAAGCAGGTCACACAAATTCGTACCCCAGACGCCCTCGCCTCTATCACCCACCCCTGAGCCCTCAACCTCCTCCCACCCCGATCTCGAAAATTTCGACCCGACATACGGTCTCCGCCCGAAGGCCTCCCCACGAAAAGCGTGTTCCGCGGGTTCAGCAGCCTCTTCACGCCGAACAAAGGCCTGGCAGACCTCGCGGAGGAGTCGGAGGAGTCGAGCGAGACGGGCGACGAGTACGACTACGAAGACGAGGAGGGCGGCTCGTTTGATTTCGTCGACTGGGGGGACGATAGTGGCGCGCCGGCAGGGGATCATTTGCCGTCGGCGAGCGAGCGGGGCGACTCGATGGAGTACGAGACGATACCCGCCGTGGGGGGTGGGACGATCACGCGGCCGCGGATATTTCACTCGCAGTCCGCGATCCAGACGACGCCGACGCCGCTGCTGTCCCAGTCGATGTCCGCGCTGCCGACGCGGTCGTACTCGCAGAGCATGCTCAATATGGGCATGGGCATGCATCTGCACCCCCACGCACATACGCGGT